GGATTCAGAATACACACAATGAAGTTATATAAAGACTGAAAGCAGTCAGAATAAATCATTCATTCAGGTTCAAAGTCTGCTGCCCCTCCCCTTTAAAAACATTTGAAGGGAGGTTAACCCTTTCCTTGCACTGACGATTCTAAGCAAAAGAAAGCGCCACTGTAAATCGGCCAGAAAATGGCCCTATCTCAACATTTGAACTATCATAGGAATTCTAATTGTCACCTTCTCTGCATAAAGATAACATGCAAATAAGGAAGAACAACTGCCAATTTAAGTCTGAAAGATTGATTAGAGTTTATCATTTCTTTCTTTTTTTGTTGAGACAGGGACTGCCTGTGGTACAAGCTGTGCAACCACAGCTCACGGCGTCCGCCAGCTCCTGGGCTCAAGCGATCCTCCTGCCTCAGCCTGAGTAGCTGCGACTTCAGGGACCGCCACCATGTCCTGCTATTATCATTTCTTTGGAAATCCAACATTTAAGGTCGTATATCTTCCTGGGAAATGTCTAAAGTTTGGAAAGCATTAAAACAATCAGCAGCTTTAGAATGACTGTCATGTTATTCGTACATTTCTGTCTTTACTGTCTAATGTGTATTTCAGAAACTCGTCACCCAGGAACAGGCCTCAGTCGGAGTCCCTGACTGCCTATCTTTGGTGTGACCGTTAGGCACAAGCAATCTCTTCAGCCTCGGTTTTTTGGTAGGATGGGGTAACAGCTGGCAGAGGTATTACGGAAGGAGTAAGGGAGGAAATAAATCTCTTGGGGCCGAAGTGCTCAAAAATGTCACTGAAGACGACCTAGGAGTCTTCCCAAAACGCACTCCTTGGTGGCACAGTAATTGATCGTAGGCTCCCTTATGAATTGCAGTTGTGAAACACAACCGCAGCCTCAATCATGAATTACAATCACGAAACACAAGCAACAATTACGAAACAGAAGTTACAAGCACAGATTGGGGCGGCAGCTCCGCCAAGTACGCAAGCTGCAAGTATGACCCCGAGCAAGTTACTTAATTTCGCGTAAGGAGCAACGCGTGGCCGCTCCTAAGCCACTGCCACTAGGATACCGACCTGGGCAGCCCCCGGCGACCCCCGTCCGGTTCTCCCCAGCCCGACCCGCTCCGCCCGTCCCACAAGTAGCAAAACAGAGCTGCCCCCGCCTAAGGCGCCAAAGCAAAGCTTCTTGCTCTTGCTCTCTGCGGCTCCGCGCGCCGGAGGCCCGGCCTCAGCTCGGGTAGCGGATCCCGTGCTGGGCGGAGTCCCGCGCGGCCCGGAGGCCACCCGCCCGGCTCCTGCCGGCGCTCTCCCTCCCTCGGCCTCAGGGCCCACGCGCGGGCCGCGCTACCTGGCTCGCCATGTCCGCGGGTTCGAGTCGGCGCAGAGTACAGCGATCGCCGGGGCGGGTCGCGCTGGGACACGGCGTGCTCGGGGCGTGTGGGCGGGGCGTGCGTCCGTCGTCAGCGTCAGGGCGCGGGGCGTGGGGGCGTGGCTAGCGGGCTGCAACCGGAAGAGCGGGCCCTCAGGTGCGGCTTTTGAGGATGCCCGGGTGGACTTGCTGGCGAGGCTGGAGGGGTCCGGGTTTGGTGCTAATCCGACAGACTGGCTGGGAAATTCACTTTTTGTGCAGAAACCGTTTCCCCGTGTAATTGTAGATGTGGAAGTTGAGGAAACGGGAGTTTGGCTGGAAGCGTGTGAGAAGCAATTAGAGGCCTGCCTGCATCAGCTTCGTGCTCCTCGGGCAAATGCTTCCTTCCTTTCTCCAAGCTGTGTGCCCGTGGGGGACGCAGCGATGAATGAGACACAGCCCCTCAAGGGACTCACCGTCGAGAGCGGAAGCTGACCTGTGAAAACAATGATAAAGGGGGCACAAAGGAGGCGGCTGCTTGTTGGGAACTTCCCAAGATTCCCTCCCAGCAGTTCTGAAGTGCGTGTAGGATTTAGGGTGACGGTAGGATACGGGGAGAGAACTTTGCAGGGATGGGATGAGGGAGGTGAAAAGTCTCCTGAACCTAGACGTGTTAGGTGTGTTTTAAGAGTGGGCCAGAGTGTAGAGAGAGGGAGGCTGGAGCTTTGCTAGTTTACTCTTAAACTCTTGTTATAGACGCTGAATTTTGTTAAAATACCTCTACCAGACACAACACTCTTCTCTGCTTTTCAATCTTTTTCATGCTTCCCTCTTTTCGAGGTTACACACTTTTAAGATTCTGTCCAAAGTTCTTCCTTCCCTTCCTTCCCCCTCATCCACACTATGGCTTTTAACTTATTTATGGAAGGACGACTAGTAAATTATTCTCTCCAGTCAGGATGGCTCCCTTAAACCCCAGGCTTGGACAGACAACTGCTACTAGGTGTCTGCTTCCATTAGAATATCTCACAGTCGTCGCAAACTCAACTTGTCTAAAACTGGTCTTGTTGGATTTTCTCCTTAAGGGGACTCTTCCTTCTGTGTGTTGTGACACTACCCACCTACTCGCCCCAGCCAGAAACGGAGTCACAAGTCCTCCCTCTCCCCCAGTCCCTGCATTCAGTTTGTCACCAAGCCCTAAATAGTTCTCGCATCTCGTGCCCCTCTCTCTCCTCACTGCCGCTGCCTTAGTTCAGGCTCTCATTGTTTCTTACAGGATTGCTGAAAGCCTCCCAAGGTATGGAGAAATACATTGTTGAGGGGGAATGCTGTGGTTCATTTTCCCAGGATGTTGATGGAGAATGATATAGTTGATACGGGCTTCCTGATTTCAACCAGGATACCAGATACCGGGGTGGTAGAGACCGAGTAGTGAGGCAGAAGAGGCAAGGTAGGCGTGATCACTCTGCTAGGCAGCAGAATCAGTTTGGTAAATAGCGTTGTCTGACCCACCGGGATTTTTGGAGGTGGCAATGAAGGTACCATATACGTATCCCTCTTTTATTTTTATCAAGAGGGAAATTGCCCGTTAAAGTCCTCCAGCAGGCTTCCTCGTATGTCTCATTCACCAAAATCGAGTTACATGTCCACCCAAATCAGTCACTAGCAAAGGGGAATGGGATTAGACCAATCATGGATCATCTCCTGGGGCAGAGGGAGAGTCTGGCATTCCCTGAGCTCATTATTATCTGCTTCTTGAACAGAATTGGGGTTCTGTTTCTAAGGGAGAAGTGAGGAATGGCTGATGACTAGGCAACCAGTGTAGACAGCAGCATCTTTGGGAAGCTCTCACCTATTTCTACTGACTTAAAAAGACTGCCAGCCGTGAGTAGAGCTTAGAGCAGAAGAAGTCTCCAGCTGGCCTAGACTTCCATGAGAACAGCTCTGACAGCTTCCTCTCCTGGATTGAATGGTTGTTACGTGTCAGTGGCAGGATGTTGAATGGAGCCTGTGGCAAGCTCTACTAGTAGAATGATGGTGGAGAACCTAGAGTTTTAGAGCAAAGTCATGCACTTTTCAGTGCTGGTTATAATTAAATGCCTGCCCATGAGCAACACTAGGTGATTGTGTTATCTGAGTTTCTCGCCATGAACTGGATATTATCTGATGCACAGGATTATACGGCTGGACATGCTCCGGAGGCTAGTATTATCAAGAGGAAGTGATATATGTAGGACTGGACCCAAGCGGACCCTGAGGGCACAGTAAGCTGCCTGTGCAATGAACTCACGCTCCTATTTCACTTCACCCCTTGGGGAGATTCTCTTTCTGCTCTACGACCAGTTCATAGAGCAGAAAGATAATTTCAGCTTGGTTTACAAATACTTTGCACAATATTCTGGCTGTTGGTATTGGTAGACTTGGGAAGTCTTGCCAGGGAATAGCACCTCAAGCATTATGTTTCTGTGAGTCCCCTTTGACAGGAATGAAATAGCCTGAGGTAAGGATCTGCGTTGATTTATGAGTAGTAATTAATGATTTGGTCGGACGACCAGGGACTTTGAAGGAACGAGACTATGAGATTGGTAATAAGGAAGTCTGGAGAAGAGATACGTGGTGGACCTTTCATACTGGTCACTGGGTGTGAGGAAATTTATGTTCCACGTGAGTCTCACCAAAAGGTCTGATTTGGGGTGACATTGTCAATAAGACAAGATGACCCATGCTGGGGACGTTGTTCAGCAGCCCATGCAAATGATTTTTCAGTGGGCCACTAAATGTAGTGGCCACGGAGATGAGCATGGGCCCAGCCGCAGAGGCATTCCCTTACGTACGCTGCGTCAGCTATGCCACTGCTGGACTGCCAGATCGATAAGCACTGCCACCAACCCTAGGTCCTCAATGTGGTAGAATACCTCAGGGGGACTAGACAGCTGCTCTGTGACAGGTTAGTTACATTGGATCCCTTTCATCATGGAGGAGGCAGAAATGTGTTCTCACTGGGATCGGCACTTAAAGAATGGTTGTCCCGCTCTGTCATGCATCTGCTTGTACCATCATCCATGGATTTATTAATATAAATGACATATAGACTCAGACTCTCTGATTAAAAAAATAAATATAGCAAAGGCATAAGCTTTTAATTATTCCATCATGCATGCAGGAGAAAAGGAAAGTCCTAATGATTTACTCTAAATGTGGCAGGAAAATTAAAATACTGCCTAGAAATACGGAGATGTCTATTATAATATTCTTACCAGGTCAAAACCTTATCAGTAAAACAATCAGAATTACTGATTCCTTTTGGAGGTTATTTTCACAGGACAAGGCAACACTTTCTAAAGCTCTTGGAGTCAGACAAGAACTTTTGGTTCAAATAACACTTATATTAACAGAGAATGAATTTCTTTTTAATAAAGAACAGAAGATGTTCCAGTAACAGTTATGAATATTCACACATCTCCATATGCTAAGGAGAACAACTTGATATTATTGGAATGTTTATAATTTAATAGCTTATCAAATCAGGTTTTCTGAAGTGGTTGATGATGTGGAATTGTATTTCTTTATAGCTGCAAGGATAAGGGACATTTCTTTCATAGCTTTCTTAGACTCCTTTGGTTAATTGTAAAGATTTTCATTTTTAAGGCCAGGTTCTGAAATTTTATTAGCTACATTTAAGCGGGCCTATAGAACAGAATTCTATTGGCAGGAATGGAGAAAGGGATAAAAAATTATTTAATAACAATAAAATAAGGAGGATGTTGTTTTTCTTCTGTATTATTAAATGCCATATTTACTTATAATTTCCTTCCCAAAAGACCTGGAAACTTCAGAGAAGACAAACTGTCTATCCTTGCTATCCTTCGGTTTAAAGTTATATAGAGTTAGAGTGATCTGGTTTAACAGCATTTCAGACAGGAAATATTTAGGGATTTTATAAAGATCTATATTTGTCAACAATAGGAGATGTCTTGCCAAAGAATATATGAATACAAACTTTACTGGTATATCTTTCCAAATAATATATTATTCAGACTGCATATGGAATATTGAGTTTAAGATATACTCAGAGATATTTAATTAGGAATAAAGAGGACCTTGTTTTGGGGGGGAAGAAGCATGCCAGCTGTCTCAACTGTCAGAGGGATAGAGCTTACTCTGTGTCGCTCCGGAGAGCAGAACTAGGAAGGCAGATCTGAGCTTTAGCCATAAGGAAGAAGTTGGCCTGTGAAGGTGTTTAACCCAAAGTTGGCTGACCACCTGTCAGGAATATTATAAAAAGTGATTTCTTTATTGAATTTGAAGTTGGAAAGCATCCATCTTTCTTTACCCAACTTTTATTTTAAAAAGTTTCAAGATTTCAAAATTTGCAAAACAGGACAACAAACACCTCTGTGTCTTTCACCTAGATGTACCAATTAATATTTTTGCCATGTTTACTTTCTTTCTCTCACACACCTTTTTTTTTTTTTTTTTTGAGACAGGGTCTCACTCTGTCTCTTCAGGCTGGAGTGCAGTGGCACGATCACAGCTCACTGCAACCTCAAACTCCTGGGCTCAAGTGATCCTTCCACCCCAGTCTCCTGAGAAGCTGGAACTACAGGCACAGCCAACACGCCCAGCTATTTTTTATTTTATTTTATTTTTTTGTAGAGGTGGAGGTCTCGCTATGTTGCCCAGGCTGGTCTCAAACTTACGGTCTCAGGCGATCTTCCCGGCCTTGGCCTTCCAAAGTGCTGGGATTACAGGCGTGAGCCACAGTGCCCCGAATTTGATGAACCGTTTGACAGGAAGTTGCCAACCTCATGAAATCTACCTCTAACTTTTTTAGCAAGTATGTCCTAAGAACAAGGACATTCTCCTACCTGTTCCCATCCATCCCTAAGATAACGTTCAGCTTGCAGGTGAGAATCATCGTTCTCATAAACCACTCAGAAAACATGTCTGTTTTCCCTGCATTACAGGATTCATTTAATGAAGTTAATAAATTCTGCCTTGCCTACTTCAAATGGTGCGTTGCAGGAGGCCTGCCGTCTGTAAGGCTGTCAAAAGATAGGAAAGTGCCCTCCAGAAGCTGATGGTCCTGTGGGAAACGGGGAGTCAGATGAAATAATACATGTGAAAATATTCTTTAAAATGTCAACTGTAATATAAATGAAAGTTGCTCTTATTTTCTCTTTCTGACTTCTTTTCAAGAAAACAGGATCTAGGAGATGGAAAAACATTAAAAAAGCAACACCAGAGGGCGCTGTAGTAGTATTTTGAAACAATGACAGCCTAAGATGTTTGAAGACTTACTGAACATCTCTTACAACTGCATTTTTCCCCCATATCAGAGGACTACGGTATGATCGTATTGCCTTACAAATTCAAGTATTGTGCACCCTATTAATTAGCATTCTTAAATATTTGTAATCATTTCAGACCAAAAAAATCAGTTTGGTTTTTTTCTTTTCCACAGACCCACGTATCTTATATTGGAGAATACAATTTTTTTCCTGAAAATTTAATAATCTTTAATACCCAGAAGGTCTGTGGCTTATGTGCCTTGAACAGATTTTCATTCAGTGTTTGAACTAGAGCACCGTGGGAGAAGGAGAGGTCATTCCGAAGAAATTCTTTAGAACAAGAGAAAGTAGATTGTCCATCAAACCTTTAAAATAACGTTTTTTCCTTTGAAGGGGTCAAGTTCCGTTCTAGATTTGTTTCCGTGGCTTGACTCCCTTGAGATAGTGCAACTTGTGTTGCCCCTTGTCTTTGAAAAAGCAATATTCTTTAAGTGAAGAATGAATGTGAGAACAGTCAGCAAAAGTAGACAGCTGTCAGTAGTTTGCAGACTTTTTAAAAATATCTTTGAATTGTAGGCCTTAAGTGGAAGTCTTCTACATAATGCCAATGGCATCATTGGTATATAGTTTCTGTTGTCTCTGGAGTACCCTATAAAGATTCAGCATTCATTCCTCATTTTGAAAGAGAGATATTTGGGTAACTTAGGCATTTGGTATACATTTTGAATAATTATACTATAATTATATTTAGTAGGAGTTGCAACTAGGTGCGTGGTGAGAACAGAAACCTCTGCTGCTGGAAAAAATGATCAAGGATAAGCCATAACTCCATACCTCTCACTCTGGGCTTTCATTGATTTTATAAATAATCCGAACAACTTCGTTCAGAACAATCAGAAGTGTTGTGTGTGTGTATGTGTGGTTTTTTTGGTTTGTTTTTTTTTCAAATCACAGTACCAGCCATGGAAATTAGAAGGACAGAGGCAGGGACACTCACTACAGGAGTAATTGCTGAGAGAAGGAGAGAAAGAGAAACTGAGACTACTGGATCACAATCAGCATAAACATGAATGATCATAGAGTTATTAAGATTAGATTTGGGATTCTCGATTTAGGAAAATATAGGAAATATTTTGGAAACATTCCATTCAAAAGGGTGAATAGAAACTATTTGGACACTTGTTAGGATAAACTTTTATTTTCAAGCAACATATATTTATTTATTGAGTATCTGTGATAGACAGAGGCATGGATGCAGAGATTGTTCTGCCTGCAAGGAGTTTACAAACATGTCCTTGAAAAACTAACAACTAACAGAAGCAGCATGTCTTGAGATTTCCATGGGGACACAAAGCACCAAAGGAGATCAGGGAATAAAAATAGCTTTGTGGCTGCAAAGATCTGAAAGGGAGATGGGTCTCAAAGGAAACCTGGGGAGGATTCAAGGAAGCAAGAGAGAGGAGGGACGGGATGTGGAGAGAGAAGAGAAGGGAATAGCATAAGGATGGCCAACAACCTGTGGGGCCATCTTAGTCCCCACAGTGCTAACGAAGGTTCACTGGCTTCCATTGCTAATGAAAGGGAATGTTAAATCAGCAGGAATATAATTTTCTACTTTGAGATATTACTATCGTCCTTAGCCAGAGCTTCAGAGATGTTTATCTCCTCTCACAGTTCAGTGCATGGTAAACAATATTTAGAGAAAACTGGTACGTTTCAGAAGTTACTCCAAGGTAAGAGCTAGCCTTTGTTACTCCGATCTAAATTATTATCCATCTTATCCTTTAAAACTGTCCATTGTAACATGTATTACAGTTTGAAAACTTCCATTTTGCTACTTTAAATATAAATCTGATCTGTTAAATCTTGTAACTGTAAATATTTTTCCTTGCTGTGTTACTTTATTATAAGCACATTGATTTTTGTCACTTTTGACTATAGAAAACAGCATTATAGTGTCTAATGATTACAGATCATTAAACAGTAAAACACTAAGCATTGTATGTTGTAATAATTATCCAAGATGAAAGGGCAGTTTATAGAGCTAGAGATTTGAGAGTATAGATGTTTTTTCTTTTTAAAACCTTCATTTACATAAATTCTGTTAATAATGATAATGAGGCTAAGAGAAAAGAAATTAACAAATGTTCAAAGGAGATTGTTTAGCAGCTTATTAAAAAAGAGTAGCTTGTTGCTTATTGGAACACAGAAATTATATAATAGCATTTTTACATATAGATATATAAAATATATGTAGTCTTTCTTCCAGTTAAAATCTTTTTATTGTGGAAAATTTTCAGCATAGGACAATGAAACTCCATATATTCATCAACCAACCTAAAAATTATTAACAAGTGACAATCTAGTTGTATTTATGATCTCTCATTCCCCACTTTTACCTTCCCAGAACTAGTTTTAAACAATTTCTAAACATCATATTCTATTCATAAACACTTCAATTATCATAGTTATTTAACACAGGAAATAATATATTTTATGGGTACAAATTTTGTAATATTTAATGCTATTTTATGTTGCAATACTAACTATAAGTATTTGTTTAAATCCATAGTTTTCCATCATATCAAGTAATAACCGGGTTCAGATTCAGTCAGACAGTATTCCAAATCGCTCCTGGCATCTTCATAAGATCAAGACTGTTCGGATGCTGTTAATAGTAAAAAACGTTAACAAATATAACTTTCATGATAAATTTAACTAAAGCCCATGAATAATTTTTATTTTTTCGTTTAAGGATCTGGTCTTCCTTTATAGACACCACTTGGTTAAGCCTAATTTCTTTTATCTTGTCATCTTCTTCCACTCATGGCATTAATAATATTTTATACATAGTGCTAGTAAACTGGGGGGAAATTAGGACCCCTCACTCAACCCCGAGCAAGTCCTTGCTCAGCGGTGCTGTCAAGGAGAGCAGAGCACACCCAGTGAGGAGTGAGGTTTTAGTCTTGGAGTAGTCACCGCTCGTGGTTCTCCTATAGCCAAGGGCAAAGCTGGGCATTAAAGGAGAGGGGGATTGTTGTGTCGGGATGCTACTTTCTGAGAACCCAAATGTTCTTACTCCTGGATAACTCCAACACGTAGAAGCAAAGGGTAGTTAAGCCTCAAGGACAGGGAATGTCTTATCTCAGACATTACTCCTGGAGCTGGGAAATCCCTGGCATCCGCAGGGCGCCATGCATAAATGTTTTCTTCACCGAGGAACTGGAAGCTCCACCTACCTGTGGAAGGAGAACCTTTGTGTCCTTTCCTCATCATGGGGCAGGGTCACTGTGTCCCATCCCCTTCCCCCCACTCCCTTGCTTCTATGCAGTTGGCATGGCAGGAGGGCCTGCCCTCTCTTGGCTTCCTATATTCATACAGTGAGTACATCTGGGAAGGCCCATACTCTGCCTTCCCTGTTGCCACCTTCCCATCTGTGTGGGCAGTCAGGTGGTTTCTTCAGTGGACCAGAGGAGTAGGAGGCCCCACTCAGGTGTCTACCCTGAGTAGGCTGATGACCAGGGAAGCCTGCTTGGAGAATATCAGAGACTCGTCCACCTACTGCTAATACTAATGCAACGTGTTCTATTTGGCTGCCACTTAGCATTCCTCGTGGGTGTATTTCATGACTGAGAACTCTAAGGGAAAGGGGTCATGGTAGAGGATATGAGTACAATGGTCTAAGGCCCCAAATTCCAGTACAACTTCTAACTTCTTACGGGGATGTTGAGGTTGTACAAAATATTGCAGGCCTCGTACATTACATTTACATAGCGTAGCTTACAAAATAATGCTGATTTTTTTCTTTTCCTTTTATTGAACTTCTTTTTGATATGTGGCAAGCTAATATGTTTGCAAATCGAGGAGTTCATGTCAGTGGGAAGATTTTCTCAGGTTTCTTTCTTATAAATTAGCCTGGGTCCTCACACCAGGATCCTATTTTCTTCTGCAACATTTATTCTCTGCTTTAAACTCCTGTCGTTTTCATTTTACTTTAGGTCCCCCCTCCCTTTTGTTATGTCTTCTCTTTTCATTTCTTCTTTGTCCTGTATTTCTTCTCTGTAACATTGTTCCTGGTGTTTTTGGCCTTTGCCTCTATTGATCCAGGCTGTGCTTAGGCATTTTCCCTAACATCATTGCTCTTAGTGTTACCAATTCCCCAACCCCTAGGGATCCCCCAGGTGGGGCATTTCTATAAATTAGTTCCCAGGATCCATGGAAAGGGACTATAATATAGCTAAAATAGTGGGTCACATATCTATAGTTTTCACCCATCTCTTTTCTCGACGGGGCTGGAGTGGGCTGTTTGTTCTGCAGTGTCACTCTATGTCAAACTGCAGAACATGATGACTCCAGACCCAGGAGCACATTGTACCAGAAGGATCTAAAATCATGCTATATAGAAACCTCTCTTTCTAGGGAGCAGCCCTACCTAAGTTGTTTGTGAAAGGGAGAATGTGTGTCAATTTATACCACTGCTTTATATTACAACAGTGTACAGCAGTGCACGTTCTTGAAATGGAAGCTTTTCTTTTTTCCAAATGGCGACTATTTAATCTTTTAAGCATATCTGGTATCTCTGATGTGGAAAGTGTCAGAAAAAACAAGCTGGTTAGTTCTTAAACATCAAATAAAAATAGAATCATAAAGGGTTTCTAACCTGTTCCATTATCTATTTGCTAATTTACCTTTTTCCTTGGTTCATTAGGTCGTATGCCTCATTGATTCTGTCTAAAGGCAGGGTATGGGTCACCAATGCATCCAGATCAAATTTCTTATTCTTGTAGTCAGTGGCCAGCTTTGGAATAGAATCTACACTTTTCCAACCTGTAATTTGGCCGAAATGCCAAATAAAAAAAGATAGTGGTTGACATGAAGAAGTACTTTAGTCGATGTTTGTTGAAGGAATGAAATTGTTAGGTCAAATTTGGCTTCCTCCAAATAGGTTGAACTCCCTCCATCTTTAATTTTCTGTACTTATATTTATTTTAAAAAATATTCTTTATAAGACAAATTCAAGATTATTTTCCCTTCTAGATAAGGAATTATCTCAATTAGGTCAAAGTTTACTTTTGGTTCCTCTGTGTTGGTTTATTTAGACGCAAATCGAATTATAATTTGCAAATCGCAGTATCTTTCTATATAAACTCCATTTACTTTCAAATAATAGAATACTTTTTGTGTAGTCTTTATGTTCTAGGCAGTCAAAATTTAAACAAATTATTTTACTTCCTGTTCAATAATCTTCACTCTAAGAATTTCAGTACTACTATAGAGAAAATTATAAACCATGAAGAAAAAAAAAAAGCTGACCGCCAAAGAATGTTGAATTTATTGTACGGCCCAGTATGAGTTCCGCTGGAGAAATAGTCAAGTCATTGTCATCAGCAGCTACTCCAAGGAGAGTGCATGTTCCCCAGCCTATCGTTGTGCAGTCCAAGGCTGCTCTCTGGAAGACCAAACACGAAAGACTATCTGAGTAAGCAGAAAAGTAGAGTATGAACTCCAGTGTGGGTAAGTACAATGGTTTCGGAAACATTTATCCAACTTGCATATAAGATAATGGGATTCAAGCTAATGACATCATAGTTACCATTGTAGACTGAGCCTTGAGGCTCCAGGGTTCCATCATAGACAGAACGTTCAATACGATTTTGAGCTCCATTAAAAAAGATGTTGAAAAGAAACAGAACATATTATTTTACCCTATATAATACCATAGTTAGGTTGAATTTAGAATGTATCTTATTGTATATCATGAGAAACACATACATGGAGTTAGGAAAGATCTATAAAAGATACTATAAACTTTAATTGGCAAGTTTTTGATGACCTACCATGGACATATACTAAAATATTTGTAATTCTAGGAGCCCGGGCTGCAGGTACCAAAGGCAATTGAAAAAGCAGGGCCTGAAGATTTGAACACAGGGAGCAGTGCGGGATAGGAAGCCCTGAGTGCGTGCATTTTCAGTAATAGCTAATGCTTATTGTGTATTACCTGCCAGAGACTGTTTGAAACAGTTTGCATGTGTTACAATGAAACTGTTCTGAGAACAATGAGGAACAGCATCCTGTGTCTCCATTCTGGTCCGGGGACACCCCAGTAAGGTAAGAGCCAAGGGGAAGAACCAGCACTAAGCCTACTTCTGGGAGCTTGAAGTACAGAATTTCACTCTTTGTACCTTCCCTCGAGTAGGATTTAGGAGCCGGGCTGAGTGAAGGTGTAAATAAAAAGGAATAACATCACAATGACTTCATAGCTCTCACTGATGAAATAAGAAGAACCCACAGGCGGATAATTCAGTTGATGAATTCTTTGGTCATTTCATTAAAAATAAAAATAAAACAAAAACACCCCCCCCCCAAAAGAAACTCTCCTTCCTTTCTTTGAGCAAATATACATGAGATGATTATTTACTGATTCTCTGGAGAATAAGGCCGGGCACTCTAGCAAGATACATTTTCCATGCATTGCCTATAAGTTGCGGTTGGCTCTGTACCCCACTTTTGGAGTAGAAGAGACAGGGCTGGTGTCGTGGGCATTCAACCAGTGCAGTGACGCAGGCCTCCAGCTCAGGGGGCCCCGCCAATATGGAGCCTGTCCTGAGTCGAGAAGAAATGTGAATGATACAAAATTGTACTGTTCGGGAAAAAACTCTTTAATTTTGTGGTGTGTGTTTTTTTTTTTTTAAATATAGCAAATTTCAAGTATATAATTTGGACCTAATTTTACAGCCTGTTCATTGAGATCTGATGGACAGAACTGGATTGTCTGTGGGTCACTAACCTCTCCCTGCTCTACTTTAAGATGCGAGTGAATGCCTTGCAGGTAGGAAACACCAGTCACCCTGTTTTATTCCCTCCTCTAAATCTGCCTTTTCTGGGTTTTTTTGGGGGAGGGGCTCACCTCTCTTAAGGCATAGTTCTTTTAAAATGTTCATTTCTAAATTTTCTCTTAATTTTTGGCTGAGTTTTATGTAGAAGATATTAATAACAAAATATGAATAACACACATTAATATTAGGTATGAATTAGAATTCTTTATTAATACAGTAATATCACTTGTAATAGATTATTATATATGTATATATCTAATATATGCTATTAATAAATATCATATAAATATTAATTTATATGCTTCTATAAACAAATTGCTATTAAATATAAAAATAAATAAATCAATGTATGTATACATTGATGTTTATTAATTTTAATATATTAATACATTAATATCACTTGTAATAGATTATTATATATGTATATATCTAATATGTGCTATTAAATATTTATCATATAAACATTAATTTATATGCTTCTATAAACAAATTGCTATTAAATATAAAAATAAATAAATCAATGTGTGTATACATTGATGTTTATTAATTTTAATATATTAATACATTAATATCACTTGTAATAGATTATTATATATGTATATATCTAATATATGCTATTAATAAATATTTATCATATAAACATTAATTTATGTGCTTCTATAGACAAATTGCTATTAAATATAAAAATAAATCAATGTACATATACATTGATGTTTATTAATTTTAATAAATATTTATGATATACCATTATATAAAATATATACTCTCTCTGTATATTTTGAGACAGGGTCTCACTTGGTCATCCTGGGTAGAGTGCAGTGGTGTCATCATAGCTCACTGCGACCTCAAACTCCCAGGCTCAAGCGATCCTCTTGCCTCAGCCTCCTGAATAGCTGGGACTACAAGCACACGCCACCATACCTGGCTAAATTTTCTATTTTTAGTAGAGGCAGGGTCTCACTCTTGCTCAGGCTATATATACTACATTATTAATGGATATTAAATATGAATAACACAATAACAAATGCATATAATGTATAAAATGGTTAAGCAGAACAGGTGTTTATTCCTACTTATTTATGTATTGCAATTAGTTAATTAATTCCTTTATGTCTTTTGCTAAAGAGTGCTGCAGCTCAGTTAATGCACCTGCCATTTGATTTGATTAATAGTCAAAAGGAACATTTCTTCAGCTAATTAAAAATGAAGAAACCCCCAAAATAGTCTTTTAGAAGTAAGGAATTGAAATTATCCTGGAAAATAAGCTGAGAAAATATTATCTCCAGTCTAATAATATGAGCTTTTTAAAGGGATCTTAAATGAAAAATGAACGTTTGCAAATACTCTTCAAATGATGCTGGTATGGCTGCTTATCTTATCAGAAGAGAAGAGTGAACTCGCAAAGATGCTCCTGGCACGGGGAGGGCCCAGTCAGTGGGCACGGAAGGAAATGAAGTATAGCCGAGGGAGTGGGAAGTGATTTGTAGCTGACAGTTCTGCTTCCTTGTTACTACTTTTGAGAATATGAAGAAGGATTGATTACAGCTACCGTAAACAACATAACCTACCCTCCCCTGGTATTTAATGGCCAAAGAATACATTGAAAAGAAGATCCAAGGAAAAAATATACATACCATGACTTCAGATCCACCTACACAAGCAAGGGAAAAGTCCACACCTCCTCTGGTCAATTCAACGATGACCTTCTGGATGGGTTTATTTTGGTCTCTAGGATTGAGGCAGTCAGTGGCTCCGAGGGCTTTGGCCTTCGCAAACTTCCCACTGTTGATGTCAATAGCTATGATTCTGGAAGCTCCTGCTATTTTACAACCCATTATGGCAGAAAGACCCACGCTTCCTAGGCCAAAGACAGCACAGGTAGATCCAGGGGTGACCTGCAGGCAGAAAAATGATGAAGTAACTTCTAAAGCAGCCTGTCCCACTCTTTTTTCTTTTAAGGGGGAGGGTGAGGTGAGGGATTGAATGTAGGAACACAAGACTGCCTGTTCCACGGCTCTATGATGTAGTCACTGGAGAAAATCAGCCGGTGTGAAAATGGATTTGTTACCATCTAGATTTGGAGAATCATTTAAGGCCCATTAAGATTATCAGCTCATAAGGAATAAATTCAAGTGAAAATAATTCTCTTCTTTTATTTTTCCCTTCAGCGTTACTGGAACAAAATTTGAAAACCCACTCATTCTAAAGGGTTTATTGTTTTCCTTTTTAAATTGGATGACAAGTTATTTGACATTTATATTTCTGATAGACCTTATTTGGTTGTATTAATGTTAAAGCGACTCACTTGATCATTCTAGATCATCAAATCGTTGAAATGGAATCGAGTCCAAATTTCTTTGCATATCACTAAAGGATTTTTATCGTCTGACCTTTGTTTACTTTCGAACTTCATCTCCATGATGTCCCCAGCGTAACAGCGACAGCAAATTGTTGCACTTTTCTCTCCTCATGGCTTAGCTCATGCTTTTCCCTTAGCCTGAGGATTTCACCTTATTTTCTTTAATTAAAATGTAGACCTATACTCCTAGGCCTGACTTCAAGGACATTCTATGAAACTTTTCGTGATTATTCAGTTAGAAATCAAGGTCTCTCCTTTTGCTTTTCCTGTCTCATATAATTTATAATCTGCCTTGATGGCTTATGTGTGTCTCTTTAAAAGACTGTAAGTTTTGTGAAGGCAGAAGAGACTCTTTGTCTCCCACATTGTTACCAAGGAGCTTTCTCTATGTTGAGTCTATAAGAAATATTTGTGACATTGAATTAAATAGAAACGATATACAAGATGGTAAGAAAAGATGCTCTAACTGGAATATGTTATTCTAGAGAGTAGTATACTGGTAGAAAAATACTACACAGAGAGATACTTAATATTTTCTAATGAGGATGAGAAACTATTAGGATTAAAGCATAAACAAAAGGGAAAGAGAAAATCTGCCCAAGAGAAGCGTTACCACATTCTAAATTGGAAACAAAATTATTAAAGAACAGAGAGGATGCTCATCTTTTACTTTAATTTATGCATAACATTAGTCATGCATACCCTGGCTTTTGCTACTCAGGGGAAATAAAATATATATTGCAAATATTAAGAATATTGTTCCTATTATGGCCAATTGACTATCATATTGTGGCACATGTTTACTCTGTTTTCTGATACATCTCTCCAGAGTCTGGGTTAAAAAGAGCCTGTGCATCTCTTTGGAATTAGAAATATATTTTTCCCATTGCAGCAACATTGTAACTAGTAGCTAGATTCTCAGGCCCAACTGGGCAGAGACGGAGTATTTTGCACTGCTTGTTATACAACAGGACTCCTGTGTGTGGAGTGCCTGCTTGCAGCAATTAGAGGGAGGGTCATGTAAACTGCCCCCACAATTTGCAAAGAGAGCTACGCACAGTGGACGATTATCTATCTAACATCCCTGTAGCGGACATTCTCACACTTCCATAGATCTCTGTGAAATGTGGATTAATTGGCAGCAAAGGATACAAGGAAATTAGAAAGAAATAGGAGTTTTGGTGTTACAAGGATGTTCCCAATAATTATACAGAGTTGCTGCTTCACTTTTCTTCCCAGAAGCAAATGAAACTCTATTAAGCCTCTTGCCTTTTGGGCAGAATTACTGGTGTTGCATTTTCCTTAATTTCTTCCTATCACATTAATTTCTCTGAGCATCTTATGGGGTAGTTTGGCACAGCGGTCCCCAAACTTTTTGGCATGAGGGACTGGTTTCATGGAAGACACGTTTTCTGTGGACAGTGGCGGGGGGCGGGCAGCTGGAGCTCAGGCGGAGATGCGGGTGATGGGGAGCGGCTGTAAATACAGACGAAGCTTCGCTCGCTCACCCACTGCTCACCTCCTGCTGTCCAGCCTGGTTCCCAACAGGCCAGTGGCGAGCACTGGTCTGCACCCTGGGAGTCGGGGACCGCAGGTTTAGCAGGTGGGATCTCTTCCTCAACAGTGGGAAGAATAGGTCCTGGCAATTTAAGTTGACTTTGACTAGATTTAAAAGCAAGCTGTACAGTTCCAATTCTGGGTATATGTCCCAAAGAAATGAGATCTGCACATCCATGTTGATTGCAGCATTAGTCACAGTGACCCAGACATGGAATCAACCTCAGTGTCCATGAACAGGCAAGTGGATAAAAAATGTGGTATATATACACAATGGAATACTATTCAGCCTTAACAAATAAGGAAATCCTGGCATCTGTCACATGTTTCAACCTAGAGAACATTACGGCAAAGGAAATAGACCAGGCACAGAAGGACAGATACTGCATGATCTCACTCACATATGGAATCTAAAAAAGTCAAACTCACAGCAGCAGAGCACAGAATGGTGATTACCAGAGGCTGGAGGTGAGGGGTAGGAGGAGGGCTGGAAAATTGGAAGATGTTGGTCAAAGGATACAAAGTTTCAGTTAGACAGGAGGACTGATTTCTGGAAATCTATC